AGCACGCTCAGACAACGCGCTCAGACAACGCGCTTAGATACTCCGGCATAACCTTTCTCCGATAAGTAAATAAACACCACGTAAGCAGAGTAGATAGCTCCTTATCGAATACAACCTCTTGTATACTTCGCGATTGCTCCCCGGAGCGCAGCCCCTTACAAAGTATAGTTAATAGATATAGAGTTATTCGCCTATCTATCTTACTAAAAGTTAGATCTCTATACTTTACTCTAATCTTAAATATCTACTTATCTATTATAGCTAGTCTAGTACTATATTCGACTATAATAGATCTCTAATAAAGAACTTTAGAATAAGCTATAAATTTTCTAAATTAGGTAAGTATTAGTAGTAATAACTTCGTTTTGAAGATCCTTATGTGTAAACCTCTTTACTAGCCTACTAGTACAAGAAATTCATTAAAATACTATTATCCTCCTTAAATAAGATATAAGTACTTCTATTTATATCTTATAATAATAATTAAATAGAAGTAAAGAAATTAAAAATAAGTAAATAAAGATAAGAATATAGTAAGAGCGAGCTATGTAATTAGAATTTAGAAGAGGTATCTAAGTCGAAGTTGTAATAGTTAGGTTAGAGTATAGTGCAGAGAGATGACTAAGGTCTCTAGCTACCTAATAGAAGTTTTCTATCTCTCTCTCTCTCTACTATACAGTAACACATCGCGTACTATGCACGACTATCAAACTAGCGAGCTCTTTCCTGGGAAATTCCTGGTTGAACAGGAGCTGCCCAATGCTTCTCCGGATTTGCTCATTCTCAACCAGCCAATAACGCATTTTACGGCGTTCTCTTATCTCTGGAAGCATAGTAGCTACCGTGTTTGTGCAGATGGCGGTGCAAACAGGCTCTTTGATATGTTTGAAGGGGAACTGAAAGAGCAGCGCGCGCAATATGTGAGTTGAAGCGAGGATTTGAGCGATTGGGCAAGCCTGATACGTGCAGCTACCCGACATGGTCCACGGGGACCTTGACTCGTTGCGCCACAATGTGCGTGACTACTATCGCGGTCAAGGTGTCTCAATATCAAGGGACGGCGATCAAGAAAGTACAGATTTTGGAAAATGCATGCAGAAGATATCTTCGCGTGTCTCATCGTTGGGTATGCGAGACGTCCTGGTTCTTGGAACATTGGGTGGACGCGTCGACCAAGGGCTGGGACTGTTGCATGAGATGATTAGAGAGGAGACTAAGCATCCCAACCTCCGATTGTGGCTCTTTTCTGAGTCCAGTCTATCGCTCATCATAAAGGCAAAGGAAACGATCTTGGGAGGCTTGCAGACGAGCCGGGTTTTCACGGAGAACATGGGTCTTGTTCCTATATACGGCCCAGCGGTGATCTCGACTGAAGGACTGGAGTGGGATGTCAAGCAATGGGCTACATGCATGGGCGGACAAGTCAGTACAAGTAACCATGTCAAAGCAGATAGTGTCAGGATCGAGACTGACGCGCCGATACTTTTCACGATAGAGATGGCGTCGTTGAATATGTCGTAACTCTGCAACACGGGCGTCACGAGAGGTAGATGGATGCATGCGTATAATCGTACTGCAGCCATATATGTACACTTTACCATTGCAACACGTATCCGCATTTGGCTGTGCATGTGTAGAACCAGGATCTCGGTAGTCCCTTGATGCCGGAAATGCATTTAGCAAGTTAGTAACGTCACATATTTGGTGTCCCAAGGTTCCCGTCCAACTCGAACGGTCTTGACGTGCTTCCCATGACGAGCCACAGGTCATATTCAGTGACAGTCGGGGAAGGTACGGGGAGCGGATGAGGACAGGCAGTCGGAGGCAACCAGCGGGTCCTCTTGCCTCAACAACAAACGGCTGCCGTCGTCCACTCGCCTTCACTTTCACTGCTACTACTACCATAGCTTCTCTCCATCACCTGGTCTGCTCAAACGCTCGACGCACTTTCCAGCGACACATCGCTAACTCACTGTCGCTACCACTCCACTTTTTGGATTCATATTCCCCCACTATTCAGGCTTGTTGTGCTTCGTTGGGTATCTGTACCCTTCCCCGCACCGCTTGTTGCTCATCTACGGATGTTCCTTTGACTGGTCGACTCTTTTACGGTAGGTGACACAGCATCAACCCGCCCGGTCATAATCTTGCCTTCGTACAACGCCCACGGCGCTTCCATTTGTCTCGCTGCGACTCTCGCTTCCTTTCCCCTCCCATACAGGGTACCTCCGACAACTCGTCAGTTGATGCAAACACTACGGGCGTCCACCGCATTCTTCACAATCTGCACATTGTAGGGCGATCAGTGGGGCAAGACAAAAGTGCCAACGCCATCCATTCACTAATCACGCAGGGAACGGAAACGGCCCATGGCATCTATGCCGGGACACAACCAGCAAGTGCGGGACAATGAATGGCTCAGACGTACACGCTCGACTGTAGGCGTAGAGGGAGAAGCTACAACAAGGGAGAGAGCGATAGGGGATCAGAGCAGGTCGGTGTTGGCCGAGCAACCCTCGCCATCCATGCTGCTACTACCCTTTACCCCTGCCGTATCCTCGCCACTCAATCCCGCAAGACTCAGGCCAGCAAGCCCGGTGCAATCGAGTGACAGGGCACTGGCCGAATCTGAATCTGCGCAAATAGCCTCGCCACGGCCTCACTTGCGATTTCCGCCTCGTCCATATCTGCGGCCAAAGACAAGAAGTACACCAGACCTCCACACTCAAGCATCACGCTCTCTCGGCAAGCCACTCACAGTAAACAACTTGGGAACCGATTACACACGGTACTTTAAGCCCTTCTCAGATGGCACCAATACTCCCAGTCGTAGCCGGGGGACTTCTATCTCAGAAAGGCAGTCTCAAGCCAAGCTCGCCCTCACCACCCCTCCGCCACAAGTCTCATCCGTCAACCCCTTTCTTACACCTAATGCTCCCGATACAGGAGCTTCTCAAGGATCAAGTACTTTATACGATTTGGAGAGGAATGTATCTTTTGTGGATGACCGCTTGGTTGCACCCTACGAAGAAAAGGGAATGGCATCCTGGCCATTGGTATGCGATCAAGAAGAACCAGACGACGAAATGCATATGCCTCGCGATGACGATGACATACGGTTTAGGCCAAGGATACGGGATCATTTCACCAAGGACAGCATCGTCTCCACCATCGGGCTGGTTCTTATGATGTTTGGGTTGATGTTCATATTTGTCGGACTACCCGTCCTCTCGGCTGTGGGTCTCATCGATTATAATTCGGCATATGGTATGCCACTGAGTATGTTCCCCTACTATTGGATACCCCATACCTGGGCCACAGTGAATAACAGACAACACCCACTGCTGGAGAACATGAGAAAAGGTCTCATCGACCCCGATACGCCCAAGACAGTAAGGACAAGAAAGGGCGAATACGGTGATGATTACATACTGGTATTTAGCGACGAATTCAACAAAGACGGTCGGTCATTCTATGAGGGAGATGATCCTTACTTCTTCGCCCCCAACATCTGGTACGGAGCCACACAAGACCTAGAGTGGTATGACGCCGATGCTGTAACTACCAGTCATGGGTCGCTTCAGATGCGTTTAGAAGAGTTCTTCAACCACGGACTCAAATTCAGGTCCGGCATGTTGAACAGCTGGAACCAGTTGTGCTTCAAAGGTGGCATCTTTGAAGTTTCGGTATCTTTGCCTGGGCCAGCAGGTGTTCAAGGACTTTGGCCCGGCGCATGGACAATGGGGAATCTCGGTCGACCCGGATATCTAAGTACCACGGATGGACTATGGCCCTACACTTATCAGGCCTGTGATGCTGGCATCACACCCAATCAGTCCAGCCCTGATGGTCTGTCTCACCTGCCTGGTCAACGACTTCCATCATGCACCTGTCCGGGTGAAGATCATCCCACACCTGGAACCGGAAGAGGTGCTCCAGAAATCGACATCATTGAAGCAGGAGCTTTCTCAGGCTATCCAGAACCTCAAGGATTGCCTATAGCAACGCAAAGTTACCAGGTTGCCCCGTTCGATATCAACTACTACCCAAACTATAACTTCACGGCGTTTCCAGATCTGACTTTGAGTGGTTTGAACACGTATACCGGTGGTCCTTTCCAGCAGGCCATCTCTGCGACTACAATGCTCAACAAGGACTGGTACGACAACAAGCAATACCAGCGCTTCTCTTTTGAATATGTGCCCGGACAGGGCAAAGAGGCTTACATATTATGGAAAGTAGGGGGGCAGACAATGTTCATGATGGATGGCCGGGCGATTGGATCAAATGGCAATATACAAGCCCGTCAGATATCGGAAGAGCCCATGTCACTGATTCTCAATCTCGGTTTCAGTAATTCGTGGACGTACATCGACTGGAAGAACTTGGTATTTCCAACAACAATGCACGTCGACTATGTGAGATGGTATCAGAAGAAGGGTGAGAGAATGGTGACATGCGATCCTCCAGGCTTTGAAACGACCGAGTACATTGAGAAGCACGCAAAAGCCTACCAAAACCCAAACTACACTGTAAGAGTCTCGTAGAGCGATGACGAGAGACGAGAGACTAATGCGAATCAGTTGTGGGACCAAACAGGCTATGCCTGGCCCAAACATAGGCTCAACAGCGAGTGCTGATAACCAAAGGACTTTTGCGATCACGTCCACAATGGAAAGCATAGTTGCGGTACAGTTTTTCTTTTCTCGACGGTTCATAGACGTGTCGGCTCCGTGCCACTACATGATAGCCAGGTGCCCCCTTTCCTCTCTTGAATCATGCGGCTGTATCTTAGAGGAGTGGGGCACTGGCGGTATTTAGGCATCACGTGCTGATTATTGCATATGAGGTGGTGTGCGAATACCTTTTGCAGCAACATGAGAATAATGGTTCATGTTATTGAGTGGCATTTAATGGCGCGCATGTTCAGATTGAGTTTTGTTGCGGAGGCAGTTCAGCGCAAGTAGCTCTACAGATTTGGAACAATAGAATAGGCCGTCGAAATCATCTCTTGTGTTTATCCTGTGACCGTTTGTGGGGCAGTGTAATATCAACATGCCGATGCTTGATTGAGGCAATGGCTACGTTTGATCAAGTCTACAAATGTGCTCAACTCCTGTCTATATTGGAGCATTGCCCACTATTCGCAACCCTTGTCGTTAAATGAATATCCAGCTTACTATGTAGACTCATGCCGTACTCCCACTGCTGAAGACTTTGCCAAAGGCGTCGCCTTCTTCCATGCTCAGCCCCTCATCCAAAATGTCATGCGCCATGTTGACAACCTCGTCTTCGATGCCGGACTCCAAAACTAAGCCTTCACTGAAGGCTAGCCGTGTCAGAGCAACAAGATATGCATGCTGTCCGCCCAGTGTGTTGACTAGCTTGGTCTTGATGTCGAATTTGGGATTTGATGTGGCTACGTGGTGGATGAGCTTCATGGTTGCGTTGATGGAATCCACCTTGTAGGTTTGGGTGGGTGCAATTGGGTGGCGGTATAGGCTTGTTATGCAATGGTCGAGGTATTTGATGAGCCGACCAATACACAGTCGGTTTTGTGCCAAGCGACGGGACCCATATTCAAATATGGAAAACTGCGTGAGCACTGAGAGGACAAGAAGACGCAGGTCCCATAGCTCGGCCTCAGACACTGGTATGGTAGATGTAAGTGATGCGGCAGGATCCGGCACAGGTTTGGGTGTCTCGGTGAAGAGGTTGGTTAGACGATTGATTAGAGCGTCTTCGTTGTTTGCTTGGTTATCTGCAGCGGGATCTGCTGTACTAATGGGCCCAACAGAGGTGGTGAGAGCAGAAGTGCCCAAAATGCGTAACATGAGAGTGATCTGCGCCACAGGCTGCTCTTTGACTAAGAGCATTAACGTAAAACTAGAAGGTATTGCTTGCCACAGACGGACGATTGCTCCGGGATCTGATGAGGATAGGCAGCTAGTTGCTACTAAATAGAGCAGCTCGAGACAGTCCTCCACATCAATGTAGGCAGCAATTTGGCGCTGTTTTGGCGAGTACAGATCTGCAATTGCCTTGTCACCCCCCCTGGCTGCTTTGGATATGGGGTCAGCCACAAGATCAATGGAAGCAATGATGAGTGAAACAATGCGTTGGGCAATTTCTACAGCAGTCTCGACTGGTTCGCATGCGAGGATAAAATGTAGCGCATCGAGGATCAGCGGAGTAGGGGCATAGTACTTTTCGGTTTGACATCTTTTCCAGAGGTCGAGAAAGACATGGCACAGGTGCAAGGCCAACTCATGGACATCATCGATAGTCATGTTTGCTAGCGCATCGTACACAATCGACGACAATTTCTTGGTGGGGCTGGAGGGAAAGGCATACTTGGTCAGTGCCTCAAGTACGCGGTCTGTGTCAATAGAGGACGGGTGGGAAAGCAGGCGGTGCAACAGGGCGAATCGACGGTCGTTGTGTCTGAAGTGCTGCAGCAGTGCCGTATCTATCTTGACTTGGGCTACTAGCGGCGGTTCCGGCTCCTTGGGTCGACTACGCGGCCCGCTCAGCTGTAGGGCGGGCAGTGGTACAGGACTTTGGTCAATGACATGCCGCTTACGCTTCCCGGCCTTGGGAGTGACAGTTTTTGGTCTGTCGCGATGCCTGGATGGGGATGCCATGACCACGTCGTCATCGTCGAAGCCGTCGGCTAGCGGGCCTCTTGCCGGGTGTGCTCCCCTGGGCGTACCTGTGGGACTGGCAGGTGGCAGGGCTGCTGTTGGTTTTGAGGGCACAATCCTTGCTGTTCTTCGCGGAATGCCAGCCTCGCGTGCCTCATACTGGTGGAACATGGTGTCTGTCTGGGCCGACTCTGCCTCGCGGCGCAGACCGTCCATCTCGGCGCGTAGTCTGGCCAACTCTGTGCCATGGGCATGTTGCTGGTCGGCCAGCTGGCGCTCGTATCGTTTGGTTTCGATGTCATGGCGTCTTCGAAGTATGTCAGCCTCACCCGATTTGGTCTGCAGCTTTTCCCTGAGCGCGTCGGCCTCTCGTGTCTGGCGGGCCTTGTCTTGCTCCAACTGCGGGCATCAGCAAGGTCGTGAGAGCATGCGTGCGGTATACAAAGGGTATCGCACCTGGGTGATGCGCTGGATCAGGTGGTGGGGGTCAGTCTGTTGGCTGTGTGTACCGGCGGCGGCGCCGTCTTCGTGGCCGTCATGGTCGTCGTCGGCGTACGAGTAGTCGTTGGCGTGCTGGGGCTGTGAAGGCAGCGGTGCCTGGGTCGTCAGCACCCAGGGCGAGGCGGGCGGCGGGCCAGAGGCATCATTCAGGTCGACAAGCTCTGCGCCGTCATCATCATCGTCGTCGTCGTCGTCGAGACCATAGTCGGAGGCGGGTGCAGGGTGGTTAGGGTGGTAGGAGTGCTGGGTGGCGCGCAAGGCATTGGCCTCGAGGTGGTGCAGCGTGTTTGCGGGGAGGTGGTCGAGGTCGTCGTCGTCGAAGCCGTAGTCGTCGTCGTCTTGGTCAGGCATGGTGGCTCCATTGGGACTAGAGAGAGGCTGGGCTGGGGCGTATGCTTACGATAGTCGTGGTGGCATTAGGCCGTCGTCGCTAACCGGAGGAGCAGCCATGACGTCTGTCCGTTGTGACTTGTCCGCCGCAATTTCACAGCCTGCCTACTAGTAATAGTCGAACCCTCGCTCGCACGTCTGGCCCACCACCGCGCCCTCGACCACCCCGCCGTCGCATTCACACCCCGACGACACTCATCACCATCACCATCACCGCCCCCCAATCCCTCGCTGTAGGCTCCCACATAGCTGCTGTTGCTGCTGCTGCTGCCATCACCACCCGCCCGCGCTCACCATGGCGCGCCCTCGCAAGGACGTCAAGTTCCAGCATCAAACGCGCAGTGCCAGCAATGGACGGGCTCGTAGGCCCTCGCAGTCTCTGTCCGAGTTCAGCGACCCCGGAAGCCCAACCACCATCAAGGAGGAAGCGGCTCCCCCAGTACGTTGGCCCGTCTCTCTCTTCTTCGCCCTCGCCCTGCTGACTTGCCTAGGCCCCCGAACAACCCCCCCAAACCGAGTACGAGAAGAAAAAGGCAAACTTCATCACCCGCACAATATGGACCCTCGTCATGATTGCCGCCTTCTTCTGGGCTCTCGGCGCTGGCCACCTCTTCATAATCATCATGGTCACGGCCGTCCAATGCATATCCTTCAAGGAGGTCATTGCAATCGCAAACGTGCCTAGCAAGGCCCGCAGCCTGCGCTTCACAAAGTCGCTCAACTGGTACTTTCTCGGCACCGCAATGTACTTTTTGTATGGCGAGAGCGTCATCTACTACTTCAAACATATTTTGATGGTTGACCGGCTGCTGCTTCCTCTGGCTACCCACCACCGCTTCATCTCCTTTATGCTCTACATTATTGGTACGAGAGCTCCTCCCTTTCACCCCGTCTCGTTGAGCTAACCCAGCCAGGCTTCATATTTTTCGTCTTCTCCCTCCAAAAGGGCCACTACAAGTTCCAGTTCACCCAATTTGCATGGTCCCACATGGCTCTGTTCCTCATTGTCGGACAGGCTCACTTTGTCATCAACAACATCTTCGAAGGTTTCATTTGGTTCATCCTCCCCGTGTCCATGGTCATCACAAACGACATATTTGCCTATCTCTGCGGAATCACGTTTGGCAGGACTCCATTGATCCAAATCTCACCCAAGAAGACCTGGGAGGGATTCTTGGGTGCCTGGTTCTTTACCGTCCTCTGGGGTGTCGCCGTCACTCATTTTGTCTCCCAGTACAAGTACTTTATCTGCCCCGTCAACGACTTGGGCGCAAACATCTGGTCTGGCCTCGAGTGCAGACCCAATCCCGTCTTTGTTGCGCGCGACTACACAATTCCCTTCCTTCCCGAGGGTCTTCCGTTCCCCCGCACCTTTAACATCATGCCCGTTCAATTCCACGTCATTATGCTAGGAACCTTTGCCTCGCTCATTGCACCATTTGGTGGCTTCTTCGCCTCTGGTCTGAAACGAACATTCAAAATCAAGGACTTTGGCGATTCTATTCCTGGACATGGCGGTATGACTGACCGCATGGACTGCCAGTTCATCATGGGATCCATTGCATTCTTCTACTACTCGAGTTTTATTGCTGTCCACCACACGACTGTCGGCGGCGTCATCGAGTCTGCCATTACTGGACTTACCTACGAGGAACAGATGGAAGTTGTCAAGATCTTGAGCAAGCACCTGGTGAACCAGGACATAATATCACCAAAGGTATGTTTCTCCTCTTGTCGAGCCCACATCTTGCATGCTCACTTTAGCGTTACAGGTGCTTGAACTTCTCTCCGAGCAAATGGTGCGGAGATGAAGGCAAAACATGGATTTAGCTTAATCATTTAATAGAGTGTTTACTGGTCCAAGAGGAGGTTTGGGAGGGAGGAGTCAAATCTGGCGCTGCCTTGCAGACGCAGCTCGAATTTCGACAGGCATGGCATACGGCATCAGCCGCGGGCGGTAGGTATTGGTAATTGGGCGCATATACCCTTTCTGCAGTCTGGCGCACACTTGAAACATGAGTTTCTTGATGGCGCGCATCAACGTAGCATACAAGTAGTAATATTCTTTACATATTTGCCTACTAGTGGAAGCTCAAAGCTCCTAGTGAGGTGAGGCATGACAGACGTGCGCAACCGAGGCTTCTGCGCACGGCCCCTCTTGCAACTCAAGTTTTGGGCCTGTTCAGACAGGCAAGGCATCACATCAACGCCAATGCCACCACGCCCATTCGTGAACGACCGACTATGGCGTTGTCTCTGTCCTGGCTTTCCACCCAACTCGACGACAAGCGCCACGGTAGCAACATCGGCTAGGCGGCCACAGCGCAATGCGACACGGAATGATGGATCAATCAATCCCCGCAACCAGTGGCGTGCTTATACTCTGTCCAAGACATGTCGCGCGGCCAACGAGTCCTTCTTCTCACAGCCCGGCGTGGCGCCAACTGGGTTCCGGCCTTTTGGCGAGCAATCCCACGTTCCTCGCCCCGTCAGTTCCCGGCAAAAGCCTTCGCTCGCTCAGCTTCCAACCGACCTTCTCTACGACCATGCCCGTGCCGAGGGCGCCAAAGGCCATTGGAACGAGGTCATGAACATTTGCAGGGTGTTAATCAAGGACAGAGGAGAGCAGCCAAATAGGGAAATGTATACAGCCATACTGCACAGCTTTGTCAGTTCCAAGGATGGCACGGCTGGCAAGCTACGCAAAGTACTTGAAGAAATGGGCTTCTGGAGTCAGACGGATGCGTCGCTGTTTGGGGCCCCAAGGATTGAGCTTGACGCTCGTGCGTGCGAGTGTGTGCTGGAGGTGCTGGCAGTGCATCCTGACTACCTTTTGCGCTCCGAGATCCTCGAATACATGAAGTCGCGCTGGCTCACCCTTTCCACTCGCGGGCAGAACTTTGTCGTGGCAGGGTTGCTGCGAGAGCGTCATTTCGAGCAGGCGCTTGACACAATGGAGGGCATGATTCGGAACAACATACGTGTGGAGAATTGGGTCTTCGACGAGGCCATGTGGATTCTATTGGAGTTCAAAGAAGTGGAAGAGGCTTTCTACGTCCTGGGCCTCAAAGAAACAGTGCAAAACAAAGGCAGTGGCACGGGGACTGCCAAGGTAAGTGATGCGCTTTTGGGCACATTGCTGGACGCAGCAGCAGAGAGTCAACTTGTATGTGTAACACCAATTTGACAATCAACCCATGGCACAATGCTGATGGCGCGCAGTATGAAGAAACGGTCAAAGTGTGGATGACTCAAGTTCAGCCAGGCTACCTGAAACCGGGCACTGGCACCTGCATGTCTGTTCTTGCCCTCGCTTCTCATCATGGAGACGTTGAACTTGCCACCGACGTCTTTCGTCTACTTACGGAGCGAGAAACCACTTTTACGACTCACCACTACGAGCTCATCATGTCGACTCATCTCCAAGCCAATGATGTCGAGGCTGCTCTATCCGTGATTCTCATCATGGTCGATGCTAACGTCAAGGTCGATGCTGCAACGTGCCAGCCACTGTACCATTACTTGTCTATTGACACAGATGACGGGACTAACCGCCCGTTGGAAGCTTTTGCCCTCCTCCAGGACTATGAGGCTGCTGGTCGCAGAGTGCCCACAGCGGCGGTGAATGCGTGCATCCAGGCTAGTCTTGCCCTGGGTCGCCTTGAGGAGGCGATTGAGATATACAAAGCCCTTCATACCGTTTCACGCGCGGGGCCCAACACCAACACATTCAATATTCTATTCAAGGGCTGCCACAAGTTTGTACGCAAGGAACTGGCAATGTTCTTGGCAAACGAGATGATGCAGCTTGGGCTGATGCCCGACCGCATTACATATGATCGGCTCGTACTGGTCTGCCTACGATGTGGCGACCTGGAAGATGCACTGCTATACTATGAGGAGATGATGTCGTCGGGCGAGGGTGACGCGCCGATGAAGCCCCGAAAGAAGACTTGGGAGCTTCTCATACACGCTTGTGCGGTAAAGGGTGACGAGAGAGCCGTTGCGCTTCTTAACGAGTACAAACGAGAGATTGACGAGCCCCGCATGTCAGTGGAGAAGGCTGTTGTCGACCGTTTTGAGTATGGGATGCTGCCGACGCCCCGAACATCTGGAGCGGGAGGCATCGAGTCTGGTCGATTGCATGGTGTGGAAGATCAACACGTCAGGCCAGCGGCAGAGGTGACACACTCCCCAGGGCTCGGGGCCGACACAGGACGATCGGGGGCAAAAGATGGGTTTTGGCACCAAGGCAACGAGGCCGGTGTGAATACGGAAGCGGACTTGAAGGAGAGCGCCGATCTCGAGGGCGCACAGTCCACTGCAGCAGCTAGCGATGACACAAGGCCATCCTAAGAGGGAAAGAAACGCGCGACCCTTTTGGACGGCCCAGTAGCTTGATAAGTGCCGGGGGGGCTATGATTAAGTAGATGGTATTCACCGGATTTGCTAACAGACTCTTACTTTGGGGTGCCGGTGCTGCACCCGTATACATGGTGTGTATTGTAGTGTAGGTGTAGTAAGTAGTCGTCGTATCGCCATGTCGACGGTGAGCGTAGGGGGAGGGGCTGACAGCGTATACAGTACGGCGAAGCGTCGATGATAAGTATTTTTGTACGTGCGCGTGGGGTCGTGACATGTCGAGGCCAGGCGGTCTGGCGGTGATTATTCACGACATGCAAATTCCTCCTCGCACGAGCTTGTTATCTCTCAACCATTGCCATAGAGTGGAGTTGGAGGGGTGGGGAGAAGCGGAGGAAGACAGCTGCCGAGGCCGCGGGCGTGGACGAATCAGAGGCTGGGCAAATCAAGGTTTTCAAGCAAACTAGCTCCCTCTTGGAGAAGCTTAACTCGTACCGCAGAGCCGCAGTCTCAACCGCTCCACTGCACGCCTCAACTTTGACGATAGCGTTGCGGCCTTTTCCAGGATCCTGCTTCCTTGCCGCTCCATCCGATACCACCCAAGCCGAGCTATTGCCGTCGACGCGCCCTGTCTTTTTTTTTTCCTTGCTCGCCTACTTTCAAATGCCGTAGATGCCGACTCCACACTGGCGACGCGGGCGTCACTCTTCCGACCGGTGTGTATGGGGTTATGCCTGAAACGGCCATCGGAACCTGCTAGGACGTTGCATCTCCGGTGGTTGGTTTGACCCCAACATGTGGGGACTGAAATGTCGAATGATGCACTGACTGGAGTCTCCATGATGGCACCCACACGACGGTACTGGCATTGTGGGGAATGGTTCTGGAGTACAAGTAGGGACCTCTCTCTCGACCCCTTCTTCTCGTGCAGTCCCTTCTTTCTCCTCTTGCACTTTGACCCCTTCCATCTTCGATCACAATGGGACTCAGCGGCAAAACCCTCCAGACGGCCCAGCTTTTGCTCGTTGTCCTACCGGCCTTTGTGCTGTTCGGGTACAATCAGTCTGGCGTAGGTGGTCTCCTCTCACTCCGGGACTGGAACGACCACTTCCCCGAAATTAACACCATCGACACGCATGGCGCTGAGAAGAGCAGCAACTCTACCAAGCAGGGTGCAGTCGTTGCCAGCTTCACCATCGGTGCCCTCTTTGGCGCTCTATCCTGTTCCTGGATCGGAGACTACCTCGGGCGACGGAAGCTCATCTTCTTTGCTGCAGGTCTGACGCTTATTGGCGAGATACTGCAATGCACCAGCTTCCAGCTTGCCCAATTTGTTGTCGGCCGCTTTATCCTCGGCTGGGGCGTCGGTGCTCTGAGCGCCACAGTCCCAGTCTGGCAATCCGAGTGTTCATCGTCGGCCAACCGTGGTAAGCACGTCGTGCTGGACGGATGCTTCATCTCTCTGGGCTACCTCCTCGAAGCCTGGATCAATTTGGGCTTCTTTGAGCAAGACAACCTGCCCTTGCAATGGCGCATTCCTCTCGCTATTCCGACTGTCATTTCCGTCATTCCCATGTTGGCGGTTTTCAGCATCCCTGAATCACCTCGTTGGCTTGTAGCAAAAGGCCGTGTCGAAGACGCTCGTGTTAGTCTGTCCAGCTTCAAGGGTCTGGATCTGCACGACCCTGAGATCACTGCTGAGATCACTGGCATTGAGATCACGCTCGAGGAAACCGGCCGCAGCGCAGCAAAGATGAGCGATATCTTCACCATGGGCAAAGACAAGCTATTCTACCGCTTTGCACTCTGCATTTTCCTCCAGTTTTTGCAGCAGATGTGTGGCAGCAACCTCATCTCCACCTACTCAACTGTAAGCCTAATCATTTCAACCTTATCCATGATCACCGTATTAACTTGTTTCTGTAGATCATCTTCCAGCAGGGTCTAGGCCTCAACAGCGAAACGTCACGCATCCTGTCCGGCGGCGCGTTGACCTGGAAATTTCTTTCCTGCTTTGTCGCCTTCTTCACCATTGACCGCTTCGGACGTCGCAAGCTCTTCATGTTTAGCGGCGCCGGCATGGCCTCTTGCATGTTGGCATTAGCCATCGCATCCAGCTTCCCTAAGACGAACCAATCTGCCCAAATAGCCTCTGCATTCTTCGTCTTCCTCTTCAACTTCTTTATCCCTATCGGCTTCCTTGGCGCAAACTTCTTGTATTGCACGGAAGTTGCCCCAACCCGGCTGCGCGTGCCTATGGCTGGTATCTCGACCGCGAACCATTGGCTTTGGAACTTTGTCGTCAATATGGTCACTCCTGTATGTACACATGTTCTGTTTATATCTTGATTTCTGCTAACGCGCAACACTAGGTCGCGATTGAGACCATTGGATGGAAATACTACCTTGTTTTCCTTATCATCTCCGCCATCATTCTCCCCGTAGTCTACTTTGGCTACCCCGAGACCATGGGTCGTAGCTTGGAGGAGCTGGAAGTCATGTTCACAGAGGGCAAGAGCATTCCTGCTATTGTTAGCATGTCGCGTAAGCCTTTTACTGGCAGCATTGTGCCTGATGACAAGCTTGAGAAGATGGACAAGAACGTTAGCGAGGAGGAGTTTGTATGAGGCTGCTATGGTTGAGTTAACATTTTCCACGTTGAGTGGAGCTCATGGCTTTTTGTATACACAAGACGAGCATCTGAAGACTAGCTACGCTACGATATTATGATGTATGGAAGAAATGAACGATTTATGTTTACGTATTGGATCCCTGTGAGAAACCACCTCTGATATGTATATGAATGCTTTCCCCAGTTTGGAATACTTGCGTTTTACAGCATTCTCAGCTCTAGGAGTGAAGCTGAGAGTCAATTAACAATGTACAGATTTTATCCACATGCCCACCCCACTGATTGAATCAACAAGCTTTCCCCACGAAAACTAAAGTCTCGAGGCTTCCTGGTTAGGACACATATTTTTAGCGCTTGGGAAGATGCAAGGGACATGAGGGAGGGGGGAGGGGCTCAGGCGCTTTGACGATCCTATGATCCCTTGCGTGCACCCACAGCCCCCAATCGTCCATGTATACACTACCACCTTCTCGTCCAAGCTTAAGCTTTAAATGTCTAGGATGCGGAAATTTGGAAGTCGGAAGTTTGGCCCCTTCGTTATGATTGGCTCGGAGCGCGTCATTCGATCGGCAGCAACCGGGACGGAGAGAACAGACGCTAAGCTCCAGCCACCAACATCACATTCCCCCGCGTTCTGTATGTACTGTAGATCACTGTGACCTAACTCAGCCTCCAAGGCGCACAGTAAAGTCACGGTGCATAGGTGGAGGGCAAAACGTGCAAATGATGTGAGTGGATGAACAAAAACCTACTATGATTGTTGATCATTGGTATACACTACACAGCCATTTTTGCAATACCATCTTCGGCAGTACTACGTATGTGGCGTAGTGCAAGTTTCCTATATCAGATTAGTGGGTGAGGCAGTTATTTTGAGGGTTGGGGCGCAGCGCTCTGAGGTGCAAGGCTTAGATACACCCATCTGATGGGGTTCTAGCTGGATAGTGTGGGAGGAAGGTAGATCGGGGACCGGAGTACACATGCACATATTTAAGGCTGAAGATAGGAGGTCAATAGGTTACTTTTCTCCTAACAAAGACACATATACACTAGTATATCCTTCTAAACGTTTACTATACTCCAAGCCCTTGACTTGCATATTTGCTTTCCAGCCAATCCCAATCCAACAATATCTTGTACATCCCTTACCCTACCCTGCCACGAACAGGATGACCTCGGCAAAGTCCAAAGCGAGTGAAAGCGGTACATCGGCGGCCTCACACGATCCACTGCCGGCCTACGATGGCTCCTCCGCCTCGGACCCACCACCAACCTACGAATCCGTCGGACGCGCCCTCACGGCCCTCGCCCAAGGCGACCCGGACGAGTACATCACAGTACCGTTCGTAACGCGAACCGTGGACTTCAGCCTTCACAACTTCAACCCATTTTCACACAAGCAAGGCAAGGTCCGCCAGTCCATTGTGACGCGTCGGATGAAACGCTCGCAGTACCTCGCCCACTATGTCAAGGACATGGACGGCAAATTTGTCGGCACAGGCAAGCCGGCGGTAGATGCTGAGCTCGTGTTTGTGCCGGGCAAGAGTAGTCCCGAGGACTTGCTGCGCCAGGTCAATGAGGTGGCGCTCAAAGTGCAGAGGTTGAGGGGCGATGGTATTGGTGAATGGGGAAAGCCGTTGCAGGATCATCCAACAGGATATGGTGGGGGCGGAATGGCCATGTAGGGTTTGTAGTGTGACATGCGTGTGGATCTTTTTTTTTTTGCTGTTTGTTTTTCTCTCTTGATTCAACTGTAACTGTTTGTGTCGTCGGAAGGATTGAGCGGTTTGTTGTCCTGTAAGGTGGTAAATAAGAATCTCAATTTGAATAGGTGGATAGTTCTGAAAGTTGTTTAGCATGTAACAATCCTCAGAAGGATATTAGAGTGATTTGTGCATCGATCATCACCATTCTTCAATGTTGGCTGTTCAAAGACTGGACGTCCATATTGATCGTACGATATTATACTGCAATGTAACGTGAAGTAGATTAGCACTTGGCAAGATCTTCATAGCTGAAACTTTGAGTAGAATTGACTTTCTCATCATTCGCTTAAAGTTTAGATATGAGCTCAAAGTCGTATACCCCGGCTGTGATGTCAGACTGATGTATAACAATCTAGTCCAATTTCCGATTCAACTCGACCTCTAGTAGCAACCCTTGTCATCCCAAGGGCTTCTCCTCTTAGCCCACTCTTCAATCGGTGTGAGCTCAATACCCAGTTCACTAATGACAGGCTTCATATCGATATTGAACGGCTCATCTTCTGCCTCGTTATAGTATGTATACGCCTTGAACATCTGGCTCACCACCGTCTCAGTCTCCAGCCCTCTTCCCTGCATCGTCTTGCTAATCTTGTCACAAAAATCTGGCACAGTCTGATTTTCGTAGCTAAGCTCCTTGCCCCAGGCTCTCGATAGTTTCTCCGTGAGCTGGGAAAGCACAACAATTTCAGGACCGCCGATAGGAATGTCGCGTCCGGCAAGTTCCGGTCTATGCATGGCAGCCATCATAATTTGCGCGACATCATGGTGGCAGATCCATGACACACGAAGGTCTGGCTTGTGGCAGTAGACGACGGTCTGTCGGTCGCGGATTGGAGGCAAAGCCCAGCCTTCGAGAAGATTGTCAAGGTAAACCACGGGCTCAATGCTGATTACCGAGACATGCTCCCGTAACAAGGATCTCATTACTCTTCGATCATCCTGTGCTTGGATATCTTGTGGCTGCTTGGGAACCGGCATGCTGGTGTTGAAAAGTATCAGGGGAACCTTGGCTTTCTTCGCAGCTTCGCCGATGTTTTTTGTAGCGGCGATGATGGGTTCGGACTTGTTGAAAGAAGTTGATGGCAGGTTGAGGAACACTCGGTCTGCGTCTTGAAGTACCTGCTCAATGGCAGCTTTGTCGGAAAAGTCTGCAGCAAACGTTTCGACAGGCTTTCCGTCAACTTGTAGCGGTTGAGGGTTGCGACTGACTGCAACCACGGAATGGCCTGCTTGCGCGAGGGCATGGACTTGGTGACGGCCCTGAACGCCGGAAGCTCCAAATACGACGACACGCATCACAACTGAGTTCTCGTATTCTTCGAATTTGTTGAGAGGTATTGAGTTGTCTCACGTACAGCCATCTTGGTTGTGCTATTGTATTTGTTGGCGTCATTCGAAGCAGAGAGACGGCGGAGTTGATCAGCCGCCACGGAAAATCATATCCGCGTTGCGCACTTGATGGTGTTCGCCAATTTCAGTATAACTTTCATTGCGACCCATTACACTATTAACTCACTGACGAAATTTTGTTTCCTGCTTGGCTGATTTCCTTTTCGAGGATTGTGGCGTCATTGCGTTCCCAGGACTCCCCTGAAATCCGGGGTGTAGCATGCCTCTCCAAATTTGCTTACAGACTATCCAACCGACTAGGCCGGCTATGCAAAAGTGAGCTGACCGTCTGTACTTTGTAGGATTTTGCGTCGCTGATTCTCGAATGAACATAGAGACGGCAGGAAGGGATAGAGAAGGAGCAGCAACATGGATGGTCAAACACATAGCTACCCGGCTGTGCGGTCACTCTCGTATTTCCCCAACTTGACCATAAACGACGAAAGACCTTTAGGTCCCAGTCTAGCCTTAGCTAGTTAGTTGTAGCATCTATCACACGTGGCACTGGTTTCTAAATTGCACTGCAGGACGTTCCGGGGCACCGTTCAGCCGTTATCACAAAGTCTCTGCTCCAGAAGGCTGCCCAGAGATGTGGCTGCGTCTTTCACAATACTTTCGGTTATCCCACCCTTCTATTGGCGACTTGTTCCACGGGAATATTGCTTTGCGGTACGCGAAACACCAAGGCCGAATAAACATAGCTTTCGGGTCACTGACGTCGAAACTGGGGCTCGCTGAACAGATGCAGTTAAAATGGACTTTTCTTTTTGCTTAAGAGTCCACGCATCCACAACTCAATCCATCAAAAAGAAGAGCACGGTAGTAGCGCACGCGTTGCCCATCTACAGAACTCCACTAAAGCGACCGAATAATGGCGCGAGTGGTAACACTTGGGTTTGAGTTTTCGGAAAAGACCAAGAATCAGTGTTGAAGAAGGGAAATGGCAAATGGCAATGGACAAATACCCAAAGCATGGGGCTGAGCCCAGTCACATGCTTGGACTACTAATGCTGGTACCAAGGTGCGACGGTACTTGATGGTGAGCCAGTGCGTTTTGCGAAACCTAGCAGTACTTCCGGACCCCAGAAACGGTTATCTTGATCGGTAGCGAACCAGGCAACCGAGCTCTTCGATGTGGAAATCAAGTATGGAACCTTGGTGCCGCTCTTGTCGGTGTGGTCTTACCGCGCCGTGGAGAACAAGGCCCCCTTCCTATTGACCAGGATGTGTGATCTTGGCGCAAGGGCTCTAGAGACAAAGTCGGGTAGCCGGAACGCAGCTGGAGATTGGAAAGCATTGGCTGCGTAGATACACGACTTTCCATGGGCTGGTGGTGTTGAGTTTTGGAGAGAAAACGCGCAAGAGTGCAAGCGAGAAAGGTGGACCCTACTGAACTGCCACCCCACGGTGCCGATGATGCCGTAAGAAGAAATCCCTTTATCGGGTTGAAACATGGCGGAGCGGTGACGCTGCAAGTTTTGCCCAAGGCCATTGGAACGGCCAACTCTGACCGACATGGAGCTGATGATGGGATAGCCGTCACTCCGAGGAGCGGCAGTGGGCTACCAGTTTTGCGGCTCGGCATGAAGCACCGGCTGCAATATCGATTCCTCATCGCCCCCTGCGAAATTTGAAATGTGGATCGCCAGCTTCCACAGGGCGATGAGCTTGAGTCGTGTTTGACGAGGAGCCTTGTAGAGTCGCCACGGTGGCAGCCCACAAAGGCTCGTCGCAGTCTGGCGACAAGCTGTGTGTAAGAGTAAACCGTGGCCTACGGGTACTGCACACGAGATCTGCACAGGCTCGTTAGTGGCTTCTGCTTTTTGGGGACGAGGCTTTGCTGTGATGGGGAAAGCCCGGTATGTGCGGCAAAGAAAAAAGAAAAGAGATGTAGGTGGTGGAGGCAGCCATTGTCGTCTGGAGAGCCGCTGTCGTTCAGCCCGCGTCAGATGTGGCTTTCTGACCCCATGGCGGCCGTATTCATCGAACCCATGCTGGCCAGGTTGGAGGGAGGCAATCCTACTGGTGGTTATTTGCGCCGCTGCATTGGGGCAAAGACGGTCGGGTGGGTTGGATGCGGTGCAGCAGCATCCAGAAGCCAGCGGGCAAAGGGGTTTAGGGCACAATTAACGGGCCCGTCCGTATCCACGGCGCTAGTCACCAACAGCAGTAGCGGCGGGGAAGCTGACTGCACTCCATTCCCCTTGACAAAGTTCCCTTTCTTAGCAAATTGACCGGCGTCTCGCCGCTTCGCTTTGCCTACCTACCTAACCCTGCCATTGTACACTTCCGACGACGCGTCCAGTATATCTGTATATCCATCGCCTTTCACCTTGACCAGATTGCCAGAACTCGCCCCGTCAGCGCCCACCAAAGCCGCGTGAGCACAATGCCGTGCCAATCCACCTCAGCACATTTCCGTTTGCGCCTGCATGCCATGCGATCACTCCATGATTGGCCACGGTCAACGTAACCGTATCCGCCGTGAACCCACTGTCTATTGCTGATCATGCACGGGCAAGACTTCCGCCCCCTCGTGATAATTCGTCGCCCAAGTAAACCGTTGGCTGGCGTACCAGTCCACCCGTTGGCTGGCCTCAACTCAACGCGCCCTCGGCTATTGCTAGCAAGGCCCCAACCGCACCTGCAACCTGTATGCACTCAGGACAAGGGTCGCTCCTTAGAATCTGGCGCCCACGGTCGGGGCTAACCCTAACCGCAGGTGAACAGATGGGTCCCTTACCTTGGGATGACGAAGCTTCCGCCTGCAATGGCAATCATCTTGTCCACCATATAGACCGTGAATTGCCTTTACCCTATCTTCCAACATCCAGGGGAAAGTATACCACACAGCCAGCCATCCTTTACTCCAGTAATACCCTTGTAGTCTTGTTATCTACACAGGCTGTCATTGATTCTCGAAACTTTGCAGACAACATATCAAGCCCGTTTCCACTCCTCCCCATCTGTCCGCGTTACTTTCGCATAGACTTGGTCCGAGACAGTCGCGTACAGTCGATATGACGACTATTGTTATGTTTCCACACAGCGATTCGTTCGGGAAGCCAGATCCATATGGTCGAATGTCGGGACTGCCGTCAGGTTACGGGAGCTTCTTTAGTACCTTCAACCCCACCGGAGCGGTAGAACCGACCAATCACGGTATCCACGCCTCGCAACATCAGAATTCTGGACAACTACCTGTTCATGACTGGAGCTCGTCTCCTCTGTCGACAGTGCAGCCCCAAAACACACAACACACATTGGCTTCACAACCACACACCAACACAGACCCGACGCCGACAGCAAGCATCAACCCAGTCGCTTTTTCAAACCCCACGTTTACGCCCGCCAACCGACCTACTGGGTACTACGACAGCACGTCGACTGTCTCTCCATCGCAGTCCCACTTTGAAACCAGTAACTCGTCATCACCAGTCAGCTTCCCCATACCCTCTCGCTGGGACAGCCTGTACCATAAGGAGGGTGGCAGTCTATACCCTCAAGAGGATGAGACGCCCTCAAGGCGGCCCTCTACTACCACCACTGCCACCACCCCTCCCACCAACACAACAGCAACAACAACAACGTGGACTACTCGGCGAAGGCGTAACTCAGAGTACGTAGAACCAGGCTCGGCGCGAGCCATCTACCTCGAGAAGAACCGCCGGGCTGCAAGCAAGTGCCGGAGCAAACAAAAACACGAGCAAGAACAGCTTGTCGAAAGGTCGAGGCAGTATGAACGCAGGAACCGGATGCTAAAGGCAGAGGTAGACTTGCTGCAGGCTGAAGTACGAGCTCTCAAGGACTTGCTTGGCCAACATGCCCATTGTCCCGACCAGAGGATAGCACAGTACCTGCAGATGGAAGCAAGTCGATTGGCCTCCTCACAAAAATTCCCACGAGAATACCGAGCGTCGTTTTGAACAGACAGTCTGTACGCCGGGTCTTGGAACACCATGTTTATTTCTTTTCTTTTCTTTCCCTTTTTCTTCTTCTTCAACTCTTTTCCTTATTCTTTTCTTTTTGTTTAGTTCAGTCAAAACGCAACTATAGGGAGGTGGGATTACATGTCATGGTTTGGGCGAACTAGCCTTGGGATAACATGAGTGACGGCAACATAATTATGTACGAAGACAAGAAGACATGAACACTTGGGATGGCTATGGAGCGTTGATGTCGTTTGAGACGTTAGGTGGTCCCTAGTAGAATCAGGGTCGACGATTGTCTGTAATATACCTTGTCAAATTACAAGATTTTGACCTAACCAACAGTCCTTGATGGTTTCCTTTTCCTCCGTTCTTCTGTCAACACCTTTGTGTTACGAATCTATGCCGTTTATAGAAGTCTCCGGCTTCAAGTGGTATTTTTCCAAATAAAGAGACCAGAGCTGCGAGGACGTGTATGTACAGAGCGGCTTGTCAAACGTCGACTACCTAGATGCTGTAACTGGAATGTGTCTCGATGAAATGAATTGCTAGTAGTTCAAAGAAGCAAGAAACAACAAGTCTTCAAAGTGCTCCTTCTAATGACAAACTGAATCAAGTGCCGAATACTTTCCTAGTCACGTCATACATAACACTGCAAGACCCAATGCAGTTAAAAATACCTCTACAGAGAAAATTTATGAGGAGCCAATGATATGACCATGTCATTCCAGGTGGCGCCATGAAGAGTCTGATTGCTATGAAGATCCAGACGATGCTCACTTCGCCATGGCTTCCAAACTAGCGCGCGGATGAGGTGCATAGAACGGGATTGCCTTGGCGAGGTGAACTTGGTACTCAAATCATTTAAACACACAAGTTGTGGTTCTGTAGTATCCGGCCTATCCATGGTGTTGCGCATTGTTTTGGTAATGTTCACCATTTACCGTTCACCTGATAATGCGTATGTATATTATACGTGTGACGACACCCCCGAGGCCCTAGCGGGCAGCGGGACGAAGGCAATCGCCTGGAAAAGCGAGGCGATATAGCGGCCAATTCACATGACACTGCAGTGGTCTTGGTGGTTGCGAATCAAGTAACTTGTCGACCGCATAGCGTAGTAGTCATGCTCACAGGCTGTGGACGGATTATTTTCCGGGGCCAGTCCAGCCATTTGAGGAGATCGGGGGTTGCTGCCAACAACTGTTCTGAGGCTGTGAATAACCACTGGGGCCATTTGCCAACCCACCACACTGGGCGACATTGAGCCAGCATGGCCACGAAATGGGTGGTAATGATGCATGTCACAGGGTTATGAGCAGCGAGAAGTTCGAGGAATCGACTCTCCAATAGGGCGGGCCAGTAGAATAGCAGAGAGTATTCATCGCGGTCTGTAGGTAGGTGCCGGAAACGGAGCCATGTGGTGTGAAGGTTGTGAATGGCACTTGTGCAAGCCTCCTTGTCCTGGCTGTCTAGTAGCAATTCGGTAAGCTCCTTCAAGCACATGACTTCTTGGGAGTTATCCTGGCTCGCCAGATTATCCAGACCCTTTAAAAGGTCATCAGAAGGATGGTCCGTCATGTAGGCAACGAACAAGCTATCTTTGATTTGATTCCAATGGGGCATGACGACAATCTTGATGCCTTGCAGCAGCATGAAGCAGTGATGAAGTGCGGCAATAGGGTCTTCGGGCTTCTGAAGCTGTGCCGAGCCGAAGTTGTACGTGAAGAGTATAGAAGACAACATGAACATGGGCAAGGCTAGCTTCACGTCTGGATTGTCGAGATTTTTCCTATACGTGTCCAATGCTCGGCTGATATGGGAGTCTGCCTGGAGTAAAAAGGCCTGTCGATCGTTGGGTGCAAGCAGGAATGCTTGGTGGATTGCAGACAGGGCTAGGAAGCCACGCAAGAGGAAAGGGAATTCGAAGCCCAGTTCCACAAACTCAGTCTGCCATGCATTGCTCCGTAGGGAAGGGTTAGGATGCAGTGATTTGGCACATGACTTGATCCAGTGGTGCAGTAATCGGAGGTCGGCAAGGTGCAGATCGGAACCGGTGTTGTTATTAAGTGCATCAGGGCTCTCGGAAAGGCCAGGATCCTGGTAGGATGGACTGACTCCAGGGCTGTGGTTGGGGGATGAGGTGTAGCTCTCTGGTATGGTTGGGAATGTACAATGAATGTCCAAGCGAACGCAGTTTGCGCAGCGTGGCCGGGCTTCGTTGCACTACAACAGAGGGTAAGCAAAAGCGAGTGAAACTAGTGTGCGGTAGGCAGTGCAATTTGGCCATGTCATAAACAGACACGAAGATTTGCGTCGGGCATGATGCGTGGAGATTGGTAAAAGTTTGAGCAAGAGATGCTGATTGGCCGAGCAGGGCTGGGGGCGGGTTTTGGGCTTCAGACGTACTTTTGTGTGGCGTTGCTTGCACTGGAAGCATCCCTTTCGGGACTTTGTGTGCGTCTTGCGCTTTGCGACGCGTTTCTCTGTCATGGTCGCGGCGAGGGTTAGGGTGAGGGCAGTTGCTTCTTCGTAAAGGACCATGCTCGCACTCGGAGGCCGGGTTAGAGAGGGAGGCGATTATGTAAGCCGTCAGCCACGTGGTTGGATAGGAGAAGGTGTGGGTGCCCTTTGCTGCGCCACCGTCCCATCTCTGCTTTGCATTTCGTCTTTGTTCCGCCAGACAACTATCAACTTCAGCCACTCGGAACTTGGCAGTTGGCAATACATCCCAGATCATGCCCTGCCTGTCAGCCCGTGGCCACCTGACTCCCATCTGTCAAGTCAGCCGGTAGACCGGTGTACCGGCGTGGCGGCATTGCTGCATCCAACCTTATCTCGCTGCTTGCTCACACGAATCCGCCCTGTGCTGGTCCGGCCGGGGCCCTTGCCAGCGATTTTTACTGCGGATTTTTACCGGAAAACCCAACTGTTGTCATGGGCCGTTTGAAAAGTCCGTCTTGGTGAGGAGGACATGGTGTTTGATTTTGTGGAAATAGTGTCAGCCTATACGACCATGGTTGCGTCTGGGGCGGCATTTCCATGGCCCAGGCACACATGTCCGTATGGCGGTTGCAGAGAGAGAGGGACTGGATGGCGATGATGACAATGCACAGTAGTACTAGTACATGTATAAACGCACATGTGGACTACTTGACGGATTTAAATGTACTCATTAGACGAATAGTAGTTAGTATATGTAGTATGAATAGCAGCAGGCAGGGTTCTGGACAGGCACCACCCGTTTAGCGCGCCCGAGCAGTCCAGGGTGACGTACCACCTTGCCGTCGCATCCTACGGTTGCGAGTGTGCGAGTCTCACAATGTGCCAAGCTGACTTTCTTTTCGCATACACTCCTCTCTCGCCCTAACTATGGTACGTCTAGCATGCATTCAACTATGCACCCACTGCAACTGCTTGCAACAACGACAACTAACTGTCCTGCCTAGGCGTCGCTCCTGCGACAGCTCGTCGCCGGCCCTCGCGCCAGGCATCCCGAGGCCGGCCTCGACCTATGCTATGTAACCGACAACAGTACACTCGCCACAAGACCACTGCTCCCACTCTTCATGCGCTGACCTCTTGTTGCAGTCATTGCCACTTCGGGCCCCAGTGGCACATATCCCCAGCGCGCCTATCGCAACCCGCTCGACTCCCTCGTCAAGTTTCTCGACTCCAAGCATGGCGACGACTGGGCCATATGGGAGTTCCGCGCAGAAGGCACCGGCTACCCAGACTCAGAGGTATACAACCGCGTGTACCATTATCCCTTCCCGGACCACCACCCTCCACCTTTCGCCCTCATACCCAACATCATGGCAAGCATGCGCAACTGGCTGCATGAGAAGAAAGGCCGTGTCGTTGTGGTCCACTGCAAGGCGGGCAAGGGGCGATCCGGCACAGCAAGTTGCAGTTATCTCATCAGCGAAGAAGGCTGGCCAATGCAAAAGGCACTCGACCGCTTCACCGAGAGGCGCATGCGCCCCAATATGGGCAAAGGCGTCAGCATACCCAGCCAACTGCGCTGGATAGGCTACGTCGACCGCTGGACCAAGCATGGCAAGATCTACGTCGAGCGCCAGGTCGAGGTTCTCGAAGTGCACTGCTGGGGACTCAGAGACGGGGTCAAAATTCAGATAGAGGGCTTTGTCGAGGACGGCAAACTCATCAAGAATTTCCACACCTTCACCCGAGATGAGCGCGAGATTGTGCGCGGCGAAGTCAAGACCACGGGCATGGCACAGGCCGTCCAAGAGGTCATGTACAAGAATGGCTTCGGCCCTTCAAAGACCAACGAAGGGTCCAAGAACAGCAGCACCCTGTCTTTAGAACAACAGAACAACAATGACGGCACAGCCGCTGAGCGAAAAACCTCAAGCGAGAGCCTCCCTCTAGGCACAGGCGACGTCGTCTTTCGTCCTTCGAAACGCGTAGTCCTTCCCACCAACGACATCAACATCGATGTCGAGCGCCGCAACAAGGCCGCCTTTGATCTCACCATGGTCACGGCTGTCGCTCACGTTTGGTTCAACACGTACTTTGAGGGCAATGGCCCGGAGCAGAAGGGCAATGCAGACGAATCTGGCATGTTCGAGATCTCATGGGATGCCATGGACGGCATAAAAGGCTCGTCTCGCAAAGGTACCCAGGCGTTTGAACGGATAGCTGTGGTATGGCGTGCACTGTCTGCTGATGAAGGCCGACCTGGTGTATTGATCACAGAACCAAAAGAGGGCGAGCCTGTGCGACAGGCGCAACCTGCGGATTGGAGAGGCACTCAGGGCGTAGAGCCGTCCGAAGGTAAAGATCTCGGTGTTCGCAGAGCAAGTCCGACCAACACTCAATCCGATATTAGCCGGGCAAACAGCGTCAGAAGCGAAAACAAAAAGAACACGACCATTGTCAGCGCCCCTGGTCGCAGAGATAGCGAAGACAGCGATACCAGGGATGTGCGCTCTCACGGTCCCAATGGTGAGAGTGTTTTAGCAGAGCCCAGCGACTCCGCAGTATCCGCCAAAGCAAGCGAGAGCGGGCCAGCGACAGCATCTACAGATGGCACGCTACCGAGCCAGATTCAAAGCAGCAACGGCAACACCACAGCAAGCAAGTCGGAGCTTCTAGGCCAAGGCAGCGAGTCGCATCACACGGGTGTTGTTAGCGAGGTGGCAAAGGACATCAAGTACCACATCTCCGGCGCAGTCTCGACTGGCGAGCTTCCCGACGGCAAGCCCGAGAACGAGATGAAGGATGCGAAAGAGCACGGATTAGGGCATCTGGCTTTTGGAAAGAAGAAGACGAGTTCGTGAGCACCAGAACCCATTGCGCCAACGGTACTGAGGGGTGTGCATGGCTCTTGCAAAAGGCCATGTGCTCGGCTTGGGGCATTGCGGGGCGTTAAGGGAGGGGGGGGGGGGTCAACTTGCATGAGGGCTTTTTTGGGGGGATTTGTGTGATTGGCGTCTGGTCAAGGTATCACAGCCTTTGTTACAAAGCATGTTCTGTACACGTTGCATGGGTGCTCTAGCATCCATGTGGCGTTGAGGGGGTGGTGGGCCATGCGCGTGTATTTACCGAAGCTTCACTATATCGCTGTTTGGTTTGTGCCGTAGACTCTGGCCTTGCTGTTTCAAATACATCCAACTGCTGTTTATATTGTTTATCCATGTGACTCCGTTTTCTTGTTCGCCCTTCCCCCTTGAGCACTCGTTGTCGTCTGGCTTCATTTCCTTGTTCAAGCACTGGGAGGTTGATAAACGGTAGAGAATATGCAAGCTTAGTGGCGAGTTGATGAAGTGAGGCGAATGCTGTGCGCTTATCGCTCAAGCATCTCGATATGTCGTTTGTCGCAGCTAGCGCACTAAATCTGGATTTTATTTTTTTACCCCTCGTGGGAAAAAGCGTAGCAGAGGGGGGAGCCGTCTGGCCACTGATGACAGCACACGAGGTATGAAGGAGTGCACCGCAGGAGCATGCATGGAAACGACTACACAGAAACCGGAATGTGGAATGTTGCCACCACCAAGACATGTGCATGTGGACGGAACGTGGCGCCTGTCCAGGACGAGAATCACAGAGAGGATGTTAAGACGGCTGCTCTGTCAGTTTTCATGGCGAGAAGAATGGGTTGCGTTTCCGGTGAAGCAAAGGAAGGCTGTGAGACAAGGCAGCCAATACCCCGCGGAAACGTTTACTTGCGTTTCATAAGGACCTTAGTAAAGGGTTAAGAGGTCAGGGTCAGTGGTTGCCCCAACACGTTCAGCCGTTGATAATGTAAGCTGCGGGGCAAAGAGTATTCGCTCGAGTGGGTGTACAGGGAACGCAGCGGCAGACTTGGTTTTGTCTAAACGAAGACTGGGCGTTGTTCAGTTGCAGGGGTGTGAAGAGCCTGGTCAAGCAGTACTTGCGGCTCTGTGTGGGGGATAAAAAGGTGGTTGGGATAGACAGTGCTGCTCCGTTGTCTTTAGTAGGGACTATCTCATTCCAAACGCCTTCTTCGTCCTAGTTTGCTCTGAACGCTTGATGAGTCGTGGAGAAAGCGTGCATTGGATCAAACCTTCAGTCAGTGTTTGCAGCTCATGAACAGTCTAGACAGTTCTGGCACATTGGCGGCTGACTGCACCTTGGCTTGTCGAGCAAACAACGAACTATTAGATACATCTTCATCAATTCCTGTCGTTATTTTTACTCCTTCCATGGTCTCTGAACCCGAAGCCATGGCACTGCGTGAGCAAGAGATGGAGGCTTTGCAGGAGAGCGCGGCGACTCAGACGTGTAACACACCACCGCAAGATGACGAAAAACATACTTTGGGTGTTGGAGCAACGGCAGAAGACGTAAAGGTGGAAGGTGTAGTTAGCAAGAAGACACCTCGTAAGGGTAGGCCGTTGCACAAATCCAAACGTCAAGTGGACGACAGCTCCGTATCCGAGGCTAGCGGCAACGAGAGCTCAAGCAATTCCGACCAAAGTAGCGAAGATGAGAAACTCAAGGCGAAAAAGCGGCTGAGGAAGATCAAAGCGGCGATTGCACAAGCAGAATCCAGGAAAAGGAGGAAGCAGAAGCAAAAGGAGAAACTAAAGGAGAGAATGAGGAGCAAGAAGCACAAGAGCAAAAAGCACGAATCAACCGACGAAGACGAGAGCTCGGCCGACTCTTCTGAATCTGAATCCGATTCTGATTCAGAAGACGCAGTGGCAGCCACCAAAAGCCAACGCAGAGCCCGACGAACTAAGGTCGAGCGTAAGAAGAGCAGGCGTGTGCAAAAATCGAGCGACACCGACTCCGACTCGGAAGCTCTATCAGTAGAGTCTAGCAGTGACTTGGGCACAGAGGACCAAAGTGCCAAACGGAAAAAGGCAAGGACAAAGGCAAAGCGGAGCAGTAGGAAAACGAAGAAGAAGCTTGACAAATACTCGTCATCTTCGGAATCACTCTCTAGCGACGACGAGGCCATCCCATTGCCCGGTCCCCCACCAGACATTCCTGTGATAGAAGATGACCTCGAAGCGCAAGTGGCGACAATCAGTGGCCTTTTGCATCGCCTCCAGGCAAAGCAGGCTTGTGTAGACGCGGCGGCTGTGCCAATCCCCAAAGTGGAGAAAACAGTGGGCAAAAAGGGGCTAGAGTTCAAGCGGGTGGATCAGATATTTGACATGCAGATCCACGACTGGAAGCTTGTCGAAAGCAGCAGTGATCAGAAGGGTGAGTTTGACTGCATATTCACGGTGCGGCGGCGTCTCGACTGGCTAGGCAAGTATATCGAAACTCGGGTGGACATCAAATCGAAGACTCTACGGAACACTCTCCAAGATGTATTGAAGGACTGCAAAAGCATTAGTCTTGTCGAGGATACGCCCCAGTTGGATCCTCGCACACTGTTCCACTATTACGACGAGTTGAAGACGCATGTCAAGAAGACACTGAAGCGACAGCTTGGAAAGGCCAAGAGGTCGAAGGAGCGGAAGCGGCTCAAGCAGCAGGTTGCACAGTGCAAGCTGCTGCTCAGCTATGTGGACGAGGACTTTGGCGCTACTCGCAAAGCTCTAAAGCCCATGGTCAAAGCAGGCACTATTACGTACGATCTGGTGTGGGCACTCTTCAAACCCAACACTATTGCCTTTACGCCTACGTACAACAACAAGGACGATGCGCGGTGTTTTAGGGTGGGGACAGCGTACGAGTTAGAAGACTGGTTGACGGGCGTTAAGTCGTGGCGTGTTGATGGCAAGTACCTCGAGTACGACGGCAAATCGTTTGGTCTCGGGGAACACGAAGTATCGGTCTCAGCGTTCAAGGGGCACAAGAAGATTACCAGTCTTGCCGCATATCCGCTCAAATATCACAAGGATGCCAAGGTATGTTCGATAGTCGGTTTGAGGCTGGGATGAATGAGTGCTGACAGAGACGCGCAGGGTATCAAGAAGCAGCTGATTGAGAGGGGTAAGAAATTCGTCGCGCTCCAGGGCATGAACTACCAGGTTCAAAAGGGGATTGCGTATATGAAGCACAAGAACAGCATCGTGCGCTTCATTATTAATGGTCGGGTCATGATTGATCCTGCCATGTTCCGCCGCATGAACCCAAACTACCCGCTCTCGTACCTCCGGCCAGATGAACTAGCTGACAATGAGGATGACGATGACGAAGAGTGCTGCTGCGACTCGAGTGAAGATGGAGACGGTGAAGAAAAGGAAAAGATGCGCATCGTCATGTGGAAAGACAGGAGGGGCAGGAAACACCCTATCCGAGTGCCACAGAGCGTTGTGGACAAGGAAATGGGCACCGGCACTGAACAGCCGCTCGACAGGGATGATGATGCAACGGAGGAGCAACGTCAAGTCTTGACCGAAGAGGAGCTCATCATCGCATCACCGGTCGTACTGGGCTTTGCTTTTTCTGAGAAGCTTTGGCTCGAGTTTTCTCTATCTGGGATTGAGGAGATCAAGTGGAATGAGGAAGCATTTCCCAGTCTGGTGTTGCCGATCCAGATCAAGCAGAATCTCAAGGGTCTTGTATCTTCGCATCGGTTCCACGCAGCCAAGACGATTGACGATGTGATTCAGGGCAAGGGCAAGGGGCTCAATGTGGTGCTGCATGGCCCGCCCGGGGTGGGTAAGACACTGACTGGGGAATCGATTGCCGAGTATCTGCAGTGCCCGTTGTACGCAGTGTCTGCAGGGGAGCTGGGGACCAATAGCCGGGCGTTGGAGGCGGACCTGAACCGCATCATGGAGATTACGCATGCATGGGGCGCCATCCTGCTGCTGGACGAGGCGGACGTGTTTCTAGAGGCGCGACAGCCAAATGACATACATCGCAACTCGCTGGTCTCGGTGTTCCTGCGGCTGACCGAGTACTACCAGGGCATCCTGTTCCTGACGACGAACCGGGTCGAGACATTTGACGAGGCGTTCCAGTCGAGAATTCACATGGGGATTCGGTACGAAGAGCTGTCTGCACGTGCCAGGAAAGAGATCTGGCAGCAGCACGTGGGCAGGGTGGAGAGGATGAAGGGGAGCCAGGGAATGAAGGCGTTCACCGAGGCCGACTTTGACGTGCTGAGCCAGAGGGTGCTGAATGGACGACAGGTACGTGGAGTGACGAGCGAGCTGATGAAGGGCGTGATGAGTGTTAATTGTTTTTTTCTGCGCAGATCAAGAACACGGTCAAGACATCGCAGGCGATTGCGGTGGCAGAGCAGAGTGCGTTTAGCATGGAGCACGTCAAGCGGGTGTTGGAGGCTGGGGAGGCATTTGATGATGATATGCGAGGGGGAAAGGGGTACCGGGATGCGATGCGGCAGTACACGTGAGATGATGATGGTGGTGGTGGTGGTAGTGATGACAGTAACGGTGGTGATGATGACGGCGATGATATGTCTGTATGTAGCATGTAGTATGTAGTAATGGCAGTGAGTAGTATGCAGGAGGATGCCAAGCGAGTGGCTGGCCGCGAGTCTCCACCAGCCGTTGTCTCGTGGATATCTGGGGGGCCAAAGGGCGAAAACACACTCGTGGGAACAACAACATCCGACAGCCCTATCTTATTCCCGTGCGCCTCGTCGCCCACTCACACACGACTCCGACATCCACACCCGCGTCACTTTGCCAGTTGTTGGAGCCCGCTCTCGGGCCACGCCGTCCGTGCCGCACAATGAAGCGCGACGACAACGACGGCAGCATTAGCATCAGCATCAGCATCACCAACTCCGACGGCACCTCGCAGCCTTCCTCCACCAGCCCGGCGGCCTCATCCGCCACCCACGGCCATGCCCCGGCCAAGAAAAAGCAGAAGCGCAACAAGCCCACGCTCAGCTGCGAAGAGTGCGTAGAGCGCAAGACAAAGGTGAGCAACCAACAACCACGGCCGTCTCTTCGGCGCAATTCGCCTCCCCCACCAACGGCGCAAACACCACATCCTCCTCCACCACCTCCACATTCCCACATTTCCACTTCCATCCATTACCTCATTCACCAGTCGCACGCTCGACGGCTGATGGTTTCCGCAGTGCGACCGCACCAGACCCCATTGCTTGGCCTGCATCAAACGCCAGTCGCCCTGCCGCTACTCAAACATCGCCAACCTGATTGCTTCTTCTGCCGACAAGTATGTATGTGCCCGTCCACTTGTCCACCCCACGCCTGCTAAGCATCTGCGCAGAGTTGGCACCGCGCAAAATGCCACGCCTCGCTCCAGGAAGACGGCCACCAAACATCCACTGCGACTTGGCAAGGACCCGCATCCCCATGCCAAGTCTATCCAGGTGCCCCCGACGCCCATCCGGACCCAGTATCGGAGTGTGTCCTTGTCGTCATCAGGCTCGTCGCCTTTTTTGCTTTCAAACATCCCCTACTCTAACCACACGCCTGCCCCCTTCTTTGGCCTCGGCTCAGAGCATCCCTTTGCCAACTACTGGACCAGCCGTGGCGGCCTGGCAGAGGTAGTTGGCGTCCTCCCTGCAAAAGAGCAGGCCGACATTCTCGTCGACAAGTACTTTGATGCCGTCGATCCTGTCTATCCCATGGTCCACCGCAGGAACTTCTATGCCGACTATGAACGCTTCTGGTCCCTGCCCCTCGACGACAAGCATGCTGCGGACCCTGTCCTCGTCGCCCTTCACTTTGTCGTCTATGCCATGGGCACTCAGTTCATCCACACGACTGACAATCGTGAACGCGCTCAGATCGCAGAGTTCTACATCTCAGCAGCTCAACAGGCCCTGCGCATATCCTCGTATCTCAGTCGTGCCTCGGTTAGGACGTTGCAGGCCATGGTCCTGATAGGCTACTTCTTGATGAACGACAACCATGCTTCAGATGCCTGGGCCTTTGGCGGTGTCTTGGTACGACAAGCCTATGCCATGGGCCTCCACCGTGACCCGGACATCATTGCCCCTCGTTGCTCTCGAAGTGACAAGCAACAGCGTCGCAAGCTATGGCAGGCAATATTCTTCCAAGACACATTCCTTACCGTCCTCCTCAAGCTCCCACCAACCACAGTCTTTTCAGACATACAGCCACAGTCGCTGAGCGATGATCTGGACGACTACATTCCAAATGCCTCATCAGCTAACGGCGCCACCGATGCCGTCATCAATCCCATGAGCATCAGCAACATTGCTTCCAACTTGGACCTCTATCCTCCCTATGAGCTTTCAGACCGACGATACATCCGCTCAATGTGGCACATGGCCATTCTCGTTTCACGGACCGTCTGCATTCCACGTTCGCTAGCAACTCCCCTTACCACATCCGTCGCCCAAAAGACGGAGCTGGTCAGCGAATATTTTGCCTTGCACAGCACATTTCCCGTCGAGCTCACAGCATCCGATGATGCTACAATACGAGCCATGGCCGAACAAAACCCACGAGGCCTGAGGCAAAACCTCTTTTTCCGGAGCAACTTTTGGCACTGCGTCATGGCTATCCAAGCGGACGAGAACCCCGCCGAAGGTGTAGCGTGTGACGTCAAGGGTGCCCTGGACGCTGCCAGAATGGCTCTGCAATCCTTTTTCCACTTTTGGGAATATCTCAGAATTGATGCGAGTGTCTGGTGGGTTTTCCAGCACCGCGCTTTCGAAGAAGCGGTACGTATTGCACCCATGATCAATTTTCCTCTGCTCCACTTCGTTACTGACTATGACGCTTAGCTTCTCATGGCTCGTATTCTGGGTCAACAAGCCCAGCCGCTTTCGCCAACCCAATCAGGCTTGCCTCCTTCATCAGATCCCCTGCTGAAAGATGCAAAGGCTGATGCGCGGAAATGTCTTGAAATATTAGACTTGGTTGGCATTGCCCCTGAAATGCAAAAGACGCGCACCGAAGTACTCCGAACAGCTTTTGCCGATATTCTTTGGTAATGGTATATTTTTCTCTTTCTTGAATATTGGGTCATTTTGGGTTTGGCAGCAACACGAAATACACATGTAACACTAGGCAAGCGTGGAGTTTCTTTCTACTATATACGAACAATAATCTATCAAGGACAAGGTACAAACTACATCACATCGATCCTTGCTTGTTCTGGCTATGGGGATACTTGGGCACAAACATGTGGCCTGGCGCATATGCTCCCCCCGCGTTTTTTCCGAGGTTCCGAGTACTTACCATCGGTCTTCTTGGCAGTCTATGTGGGCCGGGACTTTTCTCAGCCTTGTACCTGGACACCTGCTGCGTGGTGATGGGCATAGTAGCGTGTCGAGCCGGAGTCTGGATTTTTGGTCAAGGTATGGAATGCTTGACGAGAATCTGCAGCAGTCTAGATGCGTCAAGTTGAGCCAACGACACCAAGTCAATTCGAGTGCAGGCAATGGCTGATTGAAGACGATCAGGCCATAGCTTTTCTCTTCTATCAAGCATACCCACTTCCCGCCCTTTCCGACTCTTTTTCTCTGTCTCCTTTCTCCATAACCATGCACCGGCCAGCTGCGCTTCAGTAGCGCTAAATAGCTCTCCTCTCCACACAAACTACGTACGCACCCACACCCGATTAGCTCCAAACCAATATCCGCCACTCGGGCACTTGCGGCATTACGCGCACCCCAGACACTGGGCCAACTTGAACACATGAAATATCGAGACGAGGTGCTCAATTCGTATCTATACCTCCACATGTTCGAGTCAAACAGCGTCTCGACGGGGCGAGACGATCCACATGGCGCCCACCCGCATGCCACACCTTCTGCGAGTGATGTTGCCTTGACGTAGCACAACAACAATTATCCAGCTGCTGACTCAGACCATCCGCGAACGCTGGCTTGACTGGTTTAGCCAGTCTTGTCCCTGGACTAGTTACTACAATCTGCAATGAAGCGGACAAGTCCTACGCGGATCCGTCAACGTCACGGGAGCCGATCAGGCAATAAGCGAGCCTATCGCCTCAACTGGACCCATCCTGAACCACTGACCGCGAACATTGTCGCCGTCTTTTAAGTAAGAGTATCCTCCGGGGATGAAAGAAAAGTGAAGCGCGAAGACGTCTCATATCGTATCCTAGGCCAAAAGGAAGAGTGCGAGAGGCGCGTGTCAGAGGCTTGCAGTAGCTCAAAGGGGGGACAGGTTTGAGAATGACAATGGTGAATGTTCGACCCACGGATTAAGATTATACAAGGCCTCCAACTAAAAACGCTCGTGTACATGGGCCTTTGGTGCTTTTCCAGACTCTTTGCTCTCGACAGTCGACTGGCTGGTGCCCCCAGGACTGCCTCTCCGATTTTGTTTCTGCCCCTGCTTCCGACTCCTATCCATAGAAGCTCGCGCAGCTTGCTCATCTAGAACGGTGGATGTAATATATCCTGGCAGTCCTTGTTGCTGCTGCCATGCTTCTGACGGCATGCTCGAGCCAAGAAATCTTTCCTCGTCCGACTCTTTGCTTTCTCTCCGTGCCCGCGACGTGGTAATGGTAATGGACTTTTGAATCGAAGGCTTGATCGCGCTGAGCTGATGGCCAGACTGTTCTTGACCTGATTTGAGTGAAGGCTTGCTCCACGGCATGGCTGACGCTGATCGGGTAATTTCAAACGCTTGCTTCAATAGCGGTCGGAGCGTCGCGATTGATCCGGCTGATATGCCAAGGCCTACTTCGACAGTGCTCCAAATCGCAAAGTCAGTTGTCCGGAAGAGGAAGTCACCCTTGTATCCTTTGATCGTTGTTGTGTACGGCAAGCGAATAATGGTCGCTGTAGAACCACTGTTTATGCATGTCAGGGGGGGCTATTGAGGGGAAAGAATATGATCCAAGTGCTACTTACATAGCTGCCAGGGCAATGACCGAGGCCACAACCACCTTCATGCGCTTCTTCATGTGCAGACCCTGGACGATGAGTACGGGAAGAATGGCAAAGACCCAGTCGGCAAAAGCGTTGAGTCCAGAGACGACAAAGGTAAAGTTCATGACCAGTACTGGGGAGAGGCAGGAGCCGGCGGCGTTGGGATCGAGATTCCACCAAAATGAGATGGGCTTGCACTGGAAGATGACAACGGACGTATATGCGATTCCCACGAGTCCAGATACGACCATGATCATACGAATGATCCAGATGTGGAGCGGCACAATGGTGATGCGTAGCAAGAAGAAGCCGACGGAGATTTTGAGCATACACGTCGACAGTGTGTAGAAGATTTCGCAGAAGAACCAAAAGTGAAGAGCCGTTTGGGCGCTCTCGTCGGTAAGGTGTATGCGGCGCACACCAGATCCGTTGATGGCGCCACCAATCTGTGATATCAGGTATCCGGTGAAGAAGAGTAGCGTGACGACCATTGTGTAGTCGTCAATGCCAAAGCCCTTCACCATGTGGATGCTACAGTCAAGCAA